TGAATCTCTCCCTAGTGATCAGCATTTAGTGCTCAATCTTTTTAATACAAATGTACAGTAATGATAAAAGTTAACTATGAAATTAATTTAGGTAAGGTCTTCCGTTTTCTTAGTAATAATAACAGTTCAACGTTATATATCCAACTGTTAGGAATCAGATAACACTTTTACTGCTCGTTACTTTTCTTTAATGTTCAGTTTAATGTGGTGCGAATTCCAAAGGCACTCTTCAACTCTCTTGCTAACAACATGGCTAGTCGTTGCGCACGCTGTCTGTCTGTCAGAGGCGACCACACATCATACCAGCCATAGTACTAGGGATCAGTTATTTGTCAATATAGTGATCAGCTTTATGTTTGAATCTCTCCCTAGTGATCAGCATTTATTATTCATTGCCATCTTTCAACCTCAAGTTTGGACAACATTGGTTCTTGGCCATAACTCATGTTAATGAACGGTATTTTCATTATTGTTTTTACATTACCAAGGCGTTTGGATTAAGGAGTACCTTTGCAATTAATTGCAATTACCTCCACATCATCGTTCATAAAATTGAAATAAATAAGAAAGGAGCAGTCGCTAAAGTAGATGAAAGAGCAGATAAGCTAAAGTCAAGAATCGCTTAGGGTTCTCATTGTTAGGACACAGGAGGAGAGTACAAGAGTTTATCACAATTGAAAGGCGTTTAACCCCCCGTAGTGAATTAACTTCTCTTAACTCAGGTACAAAGAGAGAGCAACCGGGACGCGAAGTGCGTGAATGGTTGCTATGGAGATAGATCAGCTGATGGAGCGAGGCGCAGTTGAATACCTTACATTGACATTACTGTCATACAATAAGCTATGTCCACACCTAATTTCATTTATTTCTAACCGGTATTTCTCGAGCTATTTGGGAAGAAGTGTTCCATCTCTTAATTTTATCCACCAGATGCCTGGAAGACAGCACACTGAGAGGCTAGTGCAATGGCGGCGCTCACTCACTGACTACATTTTCTCATTCAACGGTGGCTGACAATGCATTTTTCCCTCTGGTCATATCAGTCGCCGTTGATTGATGATATACAATTTAAAAAATTCTATTCTTCTATCAAATTTTACACATATTTCCAGCCGTTAGCATACGGGTGAAATCGGATACCATGTGCTAAACGGGAAGAAAGAAAAGACTCTGTGCTTATCGGGTTAAACAAAACTTTGTAAATACAGTAGAGCACTATTTATACGGTTCACGTTTATGCGTCTTTTATACGTCGTTCATCTTGGTCCCGATTCAGTCCTATTTATTAACAGTAAAATATTTATTTTATACGTCGCTTTTGCTTGACTTACTGCACTGGTTTTACATTTTGTAGTCCCGTAATTCAAGCATTTTCCCTAGATATGGGGTTAGGGGAAATACATCACAATCTGGTACAGCTTATGAAATAGAGGAGGACAAACACATCCACTTCCTCCCTTTGAACTGGACGCTGTTTTAAGTAAACTAGCTGGAGTAGAAATAACGGATACAAAAAATGTCACGAAAGCGAAAGGCACGCGCATTAAAAGATTAAATTCAAATCTTCGAAAGAACTTGATGAGACTACTAACGAAAGTTGAGTATTCCTGTGACAATACTAAAAACGGTTGTTTATGATCGAAAACAAATGATGAAAAAGGCCGGAATTTGTGAATAGTTCACTTCACGAAAATTACGTGTTCAAGATAGAAAGTATTCATTCAATGCGCATCCAGTATTCCAAACAATGGCCCCTGTTAATAGAGAAGTCAAAAGAAACAGCACTCGACTGAATGCGAAGAAAGCTTGCTTCTCAACTTGATTAGCCATCAAGTTGAAGCTGCTGTTGGATCAGTTTAAGCTGCTGTTGGAATATCATGTTATATAATAAATGGAGGATCAAAAAGCGTTCCTGCTTAGTTGGTTGAACAATAGTTCAAGAATTTATCCACCAAAATATACATATATGAATTTTAAAAACATTTATGTTGTTGAAACTGCTCATGTCTTTAATCTTAATGCCTACAAGAACTCTAGCTTTTAAAGGTGACCAGTGTTATGAAGTTAAAGTAAAGAACGCCTTACTGTTTTTCTTTGTATAAATGCTGATGATATGGAAAAAATGACTGTTATAAGAAAGTCACAAAAACCAAGCTTCTTCAAACATCTTAAAACTATGTCACTGGAATATACAAAGCATATAAGAAAGCATGGATGACAATGGATATTTTTACAGAATGGGGGTAAGCCAAAAAAAAATAGACAAAACTATGTGGGGACACAACCACAAAATTTTACTTTTTATAGATGCGTACCCATCCTCAAACGACAGATTTCTTTAAAAAATTGAAAGTTGTTTTCTTCCCAGCAAATTGCAAAAATGTATTATAACCTTTAGATCTGTTGTTGTTGCTACCCTTATGCTCACTTGTCTGATATAGTCAGCTCAAGCCCTCGAAATTCCTCGTGGCAAGGAGCGCAAGATTACTCCTGACGTTGACAACAACCTTGAGCACCTTAACAGGTGACAATGCAATTTAGCATTTTAGCACCCCCTCCCCAATTTACGTAGGGGAGTCAACTGAAAACCATAAAAGTAGAAATAAAAATCCGCATATGGCGCCAGTGAGCTGTAAGTTGGCATGCCTGTTTGCGATAGTATGCCGGATGTCTCCTAGGTGGCAGCAGCCGGCAGATGCACAAACACCGGCGCAACAACAGTTCCAAAATGGCAGCCCCACTAGCCACATGCACCAGCGAGGAGCAGCGTTCTGTGATTCGGTTTTTGCGAAGTGAAGGTGTGAAACCGATTGACATTTTTAGGCGAATGAAGGTTCAGTATGGAGATGCGTGTTTGTCACAGCCACAAATCTATGAATGGTGCCGGAAATTTGCAAATGGTGTTACGTCCGTGGCCGATGCTCCACCCCCCCGGCCAGGCTCGGCGCGCGTAGTGACTCCAGAGACCATTTCAGCCGTTGAAGCCATCGTTTTGGAAAACCGCCGTGTGACAACAGACGAAATTGCAGCATGTGTACACATGAGTCATGGATCGGCACATCATATTGTGCATGATGTTCTCCAGTTTCATAAGGTGTCTGCAAGATGGGTGCCCCGACAACTGACGCCTGAACTGAAACAGGGACGTGTTGATGCGTGCGAAGACCTTTTGCGGCGTGCTGAACGTGACGGTAATGCCTTCCTGTCACGAATCGTTACTGGTGACGAAACATGGGTGCATTACCATCAGCCTGAAACAAAGCAAGCGAGCAAGGAGTAGCGCCACTCCTCATCACCGAAACCCAAAAAGTTTCGGACACAGCCGTCTGCAGGGAAGGTTATGCTGACCCTCTTTTGGGACGAAAAGGGCATCATCTTGGAACACTACACGCCACGAGGAACCTCTGTGACGAGTGCTACGTACTCGGACCTCCTAAAAAATCATCTCCGGCCTGCCATCAAAACGAAACGACGTGGATTGCTGTCAGCCGGTGTGCTGCTGCAACACGACAATGCACGGCCCCATACGGCGCGTGCAACGGTTGCGACCATCACAGACCTGAAATTTGAATACCTCCCACATCCCCCTTACTCGCCAGACCTCGCACCGAGCGATTTCCATCTGTTTGGTCCGCTCAAAGAAGCAATGGGCGGCAGGAAGTTCCACTCCGATGAAGAGGTACGCAACGCGGTGCACGAGTGGTTGCGCCGTCGCCCAAAAGACTTTTTTTCTGCAGGTATTCAGGCTCTTCCGAAGCGCTGGCGGACTTGCATTGAACGAGGAGGGGACTATGTTGAAAAGTGATTTACTTCTGTACCCTGTGTGACCAATAAATAATATTAAAAAAATAATTATGGTTTTCATTTGACTCCCCCTCGTAGATGGAGAGGACACCGGGAAGACGGGTCCGAGGGTCTCCCACCCCTCTTCCCTTCCACCAAACCACACGAGAGGACTTTCGGCTCGCCTCATATTTAGAGTGCCGTCTTGCCGCAACGAAACTCCTCCGGGATTCAAACCCGGGGCCTTCGGCACGGCAGTCAGCAATGCTAACCACTATACCGGTTGGGCGGCCCCTTTAGATATGGGTGTCATTACCTATAGAACATTTTCAAGTTCTTAAAGGTTGATTCAAATAGCCTTTCAAAATGTAACTACAGGAAATACACAGAAAAATTTAAATATTCCTGCGGCTATGATTTTACTTGCCTGGCCTCAAAGAAAAGCATAATCAATTAAAAACTGCTTCAAAAGGGCGTTTCAAGTGAAAGTGCTGATGACGAAAATAATGATGAAACTGTGATTATGGATGAAGAAGACTGGAAACTACTGGATTACGTAAACTGTGATGCCAATGTAATGACGTCAGATTTATGCACAGTTGAAGAACTCATTGAAAACATTTTATCAGATGAACAGGTAGCAGGGACGAAAAAGAAAATAAAGAAACAATCCCACCTTCTTTTCAAAATGCTATGTTGCACTGACACCCTCAGAAATTTCTTTGTGTGTAATAATACAAACGAGAAAACACTTCAAGAACTAAATACGATTCATAGCGTTTTGCTTATTCAAAATCTAAAGACACGTCAGAAGACAATTTGACCTTTTCTTTAAAAAGAAGTTAAAATTTGCTTTAGAATACTCTTGGGAAAAAATATTTCTTTATTCAAGATGGTAATTAATCAATTCAATAATTATTCAAGATGGTACGTAAAGATATAAAATTTCGTTTATGCGAATTTCTCATTTATACGTCGTTTGTGAATGGTCCACTGAAAGACGTATAAACGGTGCTCAGCTGCATCTTGTTTGGAAAGGAAAAGATTTTAGATGTTACCAAGAGATGCAAGTAGGCGATAGTTGTATAAGTTGCGACTCTAAAAATGTAAGTAATTTTACAAAGTAAATAACACAACAATATATCGTAATATAGTAATGAGAGATAACTAATGAAAAAACAGAAAGAAAAGATTTAAAAAAAAAAATTAGAACCTACCTGGAACGAGCTGGTCTGTTTCATTAGGCAACCCTCTTTAATGCACACCTAAAAGAGAGAAAAAAATGTTCAAATGAAAGGTTTCTCGGGAGGGGACGATAAAAAATTACTCTGATAATATTTAAGTAAGGGATACTAAAACAGCTTTATACAGAGAATGTAGGCTAATTTATTACTCCATATTCTCAGTTTCAAATAATCACACATTTCAAAGATATAAAATTCAAAACATAAAAAACATTTTGCCGTTAAGGGAGGTAACTATACGACATGGTAAAACCAAGACTACTAGTGGAAGTTTCAACGGCATTTTACGGAAATTATGCTAAGACACTTGAAACAACCACATACATTTGAAAACAGCATATCTTTAGAATTTCCGCATTGGAGATAAAACTATTATTTTCCGTACAGTGGTCTCTCTGAACTCTTTGAGTTTGTTAACCCAAAACTCGTTTAAGTTTTACAAAATATGAAATAGATTAAAACAAATTCGAAATTCAGTCGTCCAGATGCCCATGTTCGGGCGGAGGATTACATTATTCAAAATTTGATGGCTCTAGATACTGTCGTTTTTGTCACAGTGCGAGAAACACAGAGATTCTTCATTATTTAATTTCTTTAAATATAATACAGGGCGATAATATTTGGTAACAACAATTTGCAAGGAGACACGGACATTTATAGTAAAACAGCGCAAAATGCCGCTTCGAAACTAACAGCCTTTCTAGGCTACCGTCTCTTTGGGCTAATAAATTAAATTAATAGTAAATAAAAAAAAAATTATGCAGAACTAAAAATAAATTAAAAAAATAATCACTAAAAATACAAGCAAAATTAATTATTACGGTTAAATACAGTTTTAATATTAGAATTAAATTTATAAAAATTATTAAGGAGTCAAAAGTGTTTATCACTATGATGTATTATGAAATACAATTGAAATAAAATTCCTTTATAGAAACTGTGCTATAATATTCATCTATAATTTTAAAAAAAGCAGCACAACTTAGAATTTTAAACAAAACTTTCAAAAATTCGCTTTTAAATATTTTAGTAAGTTTCACTTATTTACACCAATAAAAAGCATAAAAATTGCAAGAGAAAATTGCTTGTTTGAAATTTTCTATAAGTTCAGATTAAAAATATTATTTTCTAAAAGAAGTAGTTACAAATTTCCTTACAGCATAGGAAAAGCTAGAAAAATATCCAGCCCTGAAAGCATGCAATAGCTTTATAATTATTTGGAACGTTAATTATGCGTTATAAATATGCTAATTTTTTAAGAATCAATCTCAATTTCAAAAATAAAAATATGGAGAAATTCTAATTTGTGAAATGAGGGGCTACAACCAGCTTTTTCTTGACAATTATACACGCTGCAATAGGCAACCACTGTTAAATTTCTGCAAGTCGTCCCTACTCCTTCGAATGTGATTAAGGTGACAGGCGGGAACGCCTCAGACGAGGGATAAAACCCATTTGGGTTAGTCTATTTCTTATAAGGTCCATGGTTCACATTTGCTTGGGTTTATTTTTGTGACGTCATGCTTATTCTATCTATTCTAACCTCCTTGATAGGCACAATGCTTGGAATATTTTGGGGGTCTAAATCAATATTTTGCAAACAGTTCACATCGCGAAACATTTTATAAATAAATTAAATACTTCAGTTTTTATATTCTACCTCTGAAATCAACGTTTTAATTTCGAATGTTACAAAAACTGACATATTAATAATTATTAAATGAAATGATTCATTTAATGAAACAATTAATATTAAAAAAACATTTAGTTTTCAATGATTGCAATGTGCTTGAGTCTTCGAAATAAAAATTAAGGTCAGGAGTAATGTTATAAATCTGAGTTCTTACATTAGATGCAGCAGTAAGTCTATATTTGGACAGAGTTGCAGCGCAATGTGAAAAACTTGCACAAATATGTTGACGAAAAAGAAAGTAAATTCTAAGTAGCTCGTTTTGATAAGTTTGAATATTATCCTGACAAATTTATCAAAACTCGTTTAACGGCAGTTCTTTAAATTTTTGTTTTTATGATGGAATTAGTTATCAAATCTATTTAATCTTTTGAAACCAGCTATTTTCATATCTGTTGACTTGAATCTGTTGACTTTCATATCTGTTGCCGTGCTCATGAAAGGATTTCCAAGAATTGATCAACAGTTAACTGCAAGTATTGTAATATTTCATTTTACATTTCATTGTCTACTTTTAAACTTTCTCATTTAAAAAGTCATTTAGGGCAGGAAAAACTCAGATTTACAGTCTTCTACAGAAGAAATCGTGAATATCAACTTTCGTTTGAAAGAAGCAATTTTACCCCTGTAATGGATAACGTATTTTCGTTACACTTCGTGAATATATCTGCTAAGTAAGCAACACTCATTAACCACGTAGAATTTTATTAAAAATTCCATGAAATTTTGCCCAAAATTGTTTGATGAAAAGAGAAGCGATAACTCGCTATGGAGTTCAGCTATGAGCGGTATTATGCACCGACAAAACATAAGAAAGGTTGACAAGAAAATTTGAGACAATATAAGAAAATTTGAAATGAATGTTACATTTTCCTCAAAACATGCTTCAGAATAACCGCAATTTAAGCATGGCAGCTTAATGTTTAATACTGTATAAGTACTTTACTAAACTCGATCACAGCCATTACAGATCCGTAATTTTAAAACAAAGGCTAAACTTTTGCATATAACCCCAATTTTCTCGCCAACTCTATTCTTACTCGCCAAATGGTAGATATAGCGCAAATTATGGCGGCCATGATGATCGTTTCTTTCAATTCTGGCATACAATTACATAGAATTTTTATCAGATAGTTCAAATTTATGCCCTAAGGCCACTCGCGGTAATTAAGTCAATTAGGGTGCAATCACATCGCTCACCCGAAGGCGAAAATGTAGAAAAGGCAAAGTCAAGGGTTAAGTTCATCAATTCCATAGGCCCACCAGCGTCCGAGCGGTATAGTCGCTGAACACTGGTAGTTCGGTCAGAGGTTCGAATCCCGTGAACGGGCTGGCTGCAGGGGTGTGTTTTCGTGGTTTTCCCCATGTGTACCATGTATACGAAACAGTTCCCCTTAGAAAGTCCTCCACGAAGGCAACCCTTCCCTTAGGCAGATAGCCTCGAGGCTTTGCCGTAATTAAAGGGTATCAGAAACCCCTATACCGACAATGTTAAATTGGCCATTTTCGATGTACCTTTTCTCAAAATCTGCTGTAGATACAAGCTTGAAAATTTTTCTGTAATTAAAGTATACCTATCTGATTATACTGAAATGAGCTTTAGAAACATTTTGAATTTTAGAGTAAATTACAGCATATTTTGTTAGGTATAGTAAAATTTAGCACTTTTCTCACACAAAAAAATTTAAAAAATTTTTTTTTTCTAAGTTTATTACAAAAAGCTCATTTCAGTAAATATTAGAAAACCTAATAAATAAGCCATAAAAAGTGTAGATACCTGTGAGCAGTAGTTCCCGAGAAAAGGTGCATCGAGTATAAAAAAAAAAAAATCACGTTTGGAGAAAAACGCGTTTTTATGTAAAAATCTTCATTGATCAAAGCAGTAGATGACAAATTAAAACTAGATTTTTGTACAGTTCTAATTTTCATAGAGATTAAAGAATGGTATTTTTAGAAAGATAAAATGTAGAGAATTTGAAAATGCAAAAATCCGAAATCACAATTTTTTGAAGATTTTGGAGTTCCAACTCCCCTTAAATAACGTAATCTAACCTAATAATCAATTCCAATGAGAATGCACTAACATCGCTTTTACATAATTTCTGAGTAAACAATTCGTAGGAACTGAAATAATTATCGCATTTAAAATTGTATTCCATAATAAGATTTACATTGAAATCAAATTGAGAGAATTAGATTTTAGTAGTGTAGTTTAAGTGAGATGAGATCACTTAGAGTCACGTTATACGAACCGGCGAATCAGGATGTGAATGCATGTTAAATTCATATGCACTACCATGAATTCGTAAGCCCAATTTGTAACACAATAAATAAATTTGGTTAGCAAAGTCTAAAGCCTGCTCTGAGAGGCAAAAAGTCCACTTCGTTTTGTCAGAATCACAATCAAATAATATATAAGTAATGAATAACGATGTTGTTGTCGATGCTTACTTGTCTCACTCAGAGTCAGCCCAAGCCCACGAAATTCCTCCTGGCAAGGAGCGCTAGATTACGCCTGCCGCTGGCAACCAACCTTGAGCACAACTCAGGTGAACGTGCGTTTTAGCTTAAATGCTAATTGCTTATGCTTATATTAGCCCAGTTGGGCTTTAATAAGCTATATTGATCTAATCCCCTAAGGACAATCAGAATGTCAACTATCAGCTAGTTCCCAGCCGGGAAATCGGAGCGGGTAAGGAAAAGAGGGTCCATCGGCCATAGTGACAAAGTCCAATCATCAAAGTAACTTAACTCTTACCCCTGAGACAAGAGTAATAATCACGTGTATGGAGCTATGAAGATGCAAAAGAAATGAAAATACATGAAATGTGCATAGGATACAGTGTTGAACATGTAATAAACAAATGAAAGTGAAGTAATGTACGCATAAAAATGTGTTATTTACATATTTGAAAACGAGTGGGCTAAGTGACAAAATTGTGATCCCTCATTCTGTGAGCCGTGAAAGGCCTGATATTGTAGTCCTCAGGAATGCAGACATAGTTCAGTACAGCATTAAAGTTTCCTTTACTGCAATTCAAGCCTTTGTCAAAGAACTTGCTGTTAAGTTTTTGCAGGTATTTGTCAATATATTCAATTTGTAAATCATCGTGCAGGAGTTTGTTACGGATGTAAAAATGCGCTTCTGTCATGGTGCGTAAGATTGTGTTTTGAGTCACCTGCAATTTGTTAATATCAGAGCTCGTAGCAGTCGCCCAGACAGGGGACGCATAACACATAATTGGTCTTAAAATGGAAATATAAATCTGTCTTTTCCTTCTCAGATCTAACTGCGAGCTACGCCCTAGCAGTACTTGTAATTGTTGAGCAA